GATAGATAGATAGATAGATAGATAGATAGATAGATAGATAGATAGATAGATAGATAGATAAATGATAGATAGATAGATGGATAAACGATAGATAGATAAATGATAGATAGATCGATAGATAGAGAGATAGATAGATAGATAGATAGATAGATAGATAGATAGATAGATAGATAGATAAATGATAGATAGATGGACAAATGATAGATAGATAGATAGATAGATAGATAGATAGATAGATAGATAGATAAATGATAGATAGATCGATAGATAGATAGATAAATGATAGATAGATAGATAGATAGATAGATAGATAGATAGAGATAGATAGATAGATAAATGATAGATAGATCGATAGATAGATCGATAGATCGATAGATAGATAGATAGATAGATAGATAGATAGATAGATAATGGTGATGGACACCGGCAAAGAGACATCATGCAGGAGAAGGTAGCCAGGTCCCCTCCTCTTTCGTGCAGCTGTTGGGCTCTATGTCCATGACGGAGTGCCCGACTTTTCAGGGGGGGGGGGGGGGAGATAGATAGATAGATAGATAGATAGGATACAATAACCTAAGTCCTCCCATGGTTTATAACATGTATCTGGAGTCAGGCCGTGAACAATTCATTCCCTTCTAGTCTAAGAAATACCAGAGGAAATCAGGAGAAGCGTTTTGTATGTTTCAATGCTGATCAGAACGGTGATGGTTGGCTGACACCATTTGGATTTTACAAACCAGGGCCATGGCTAGGACATCATGAAGAACATCAGCATGCCGGTGGAAGGGGATCCAAGCAACCACCCAACCCACATCTAGTATAAATGGGCTCCTTAATCCCAGAGGACACTTGTGTAGCTGCACAGTCAGGGAAAATGATGCGTCTACCCAACATTGCATCATAGGCACATGTTCTCCCATAACTGGTCATTCTGAGTATTCCTGGGAGCATTGGTTGATGATTGGGGTAGTGAAGGCACGGTGGGTATGCCATACCTATGGTGCCACTATAAAGTGAAGTTACTAGCCCAGTATGGTCAAATGATTGGTTCGCCTTAATCCATTTCTTATTGGCTGTTTGGTGTTTTAGAAACATCCACCTGGTTTTGTGTTTCCTTTGGTGGAGCGAAAGACCAACAAAAGAGGAGGTGAATGGTGGAGTTGGACTTCCATCCTAAAAAGCATTGATGAGCAAGGAAAAGCAACCATGGCATCACTTCCTCTCCACGCTTGGGTTAGCGGTTTGGGTATACCACAGTTTGCTCTTCTGTCCACACTGGGAGTGCTGGTTCTTTTTTGGGTGGTGTGGTTATGAGTTATGGTATATTAAATTTAGATTTTATGTCTCTAATGGGTTTGAGATGTAAATATTTAACTAATTTTGACTGTTGAAGAAGACTTTGGTCACCTCTACGCAGATGAAGAGGAGGTAAATGGATGCTACGGAACTGGCAGCTTGCCTCAACAGGGCTTGAACTGAACTTGTGCTTTGCCCACACATAAGACAAAGCAACAGGTTCTCTTTACTGAAGACCTACCGCTCATGCTTACTGTACCTCTCTGCAGCTCAGCTCAGAAAGGTCCTGAGTAAAATATAAGTCCCCGGAATTGCAGCTCACACAAGCCTATGGACCTCCTCATTGACAGAGCTGATTGGCCCAATGCTTTCGCAGAGTCAATCACGCGCTCCTGCAAAGTCGTAAATACTATTTCCTGGCCATATCCATGGCAGCGCTGACAAATGGGTTAGCTCCTATTTCCGCTAGGTAACAGGAACAAAAAGGGTTAAAGACCAACCCCATTGCCCTATAAAAGCCCCTCCTTAACCTGAGTTCCCTTTTTTTTTTTTTACTTTGTTCCCGCCCTTCTGTGGCTTGGGTATTCCCCATTTGTCAGCGCTGCCATGGATATGGCCAGGAAAACGGAAAATGTATTCATACTTACCGTAATTTTCTTTTCCTGGTTATACTCCATGGCAGCGCTGGGCTCCCAGAAAGATGGGACAGTTTTGCTTGGTACTTAACTCAGGTTAAGGAGGGGCTTATATAGGGCAAAGGGGGTTGGTCTTTAACCCTTTTTGTTCCTGTTACCTAGGGGAAATAGGAGCTAAGCCATTTGTCAGCGCTGCCATGGAGTATAACCAGGAAAAGAAAATGACGGTAAGTATGAATACATTTTTCGTTTTCCCTGGGCTTCTGGTGCTGAATAAAGCCGAAGGGGGAACGAATAAAATGTGGCAATATATCAAACCTGCCTAAATAATCAAGGCACAGGTTTGCTTTTAAAGTAACCATGATTTTAGGTCAATTCTATATTGCTTTTATTAGACGTTTTCTATTTTTTTATTCTTTTTTTATTTTTGAAAAATAACTCTTAAAGCACTATGGGTCCACCAAGGGAGGAGTCGCTGCGATGGGTCATTGACCTGCGTGCAGGTAAATTTCAGCTTGAGCTGCTGAGCTTTGTCCACCACAGGCTTTGAACAACAAAGGAGACAAGAGGAAAACCTGTGGAAAGGAGCCAAGAGCTCCATCTGCTGGCTTAAAGTGAGTATAAAAAATATTAACATTTCAAATCTAAAAAGCAAAATTTATATATATACAGTCATGGCCAAAAATATTGGCACCCCTGCATTTCTGTCAGATAATGCACCACTTTGCGCAGAAAATTGTTGCACTGAAAAATGTGTAGACGTTCTAATTTTTTTCTTTATAGGCCTCATTTCTTTATCTGAAAGCAGTAGAAGGATGGGCTTTACCAAAAAGCTGTCATTTTGTTTTGTCAAAAAGCTGCTAATTTTTTGTCATACCAATACAAAGAAAAGAAATGAACATGAGAATGCCGAAACATTTGTAACTGCAACAATTTTCTGTGCGAAGTGAAGAAATATAAAACTGCGGTGCTATGACATCTACTTGACATCTACTTCCTGCCCTCCTCTGCACAGCAGCACTGGGAATGGGAGGGACAGTACTAGGAAGCATGCAGGTGTGCTGCACACGGTGGCAAGGAACTTGCTGATTGGAAGAGAGAGAAAAACCTGATGACTTAGTGCATGGCTGATTTTTACTGGAGGCTAGGAGCAGGGTGGTGACACCATTTTATCCCTCATAGAGAAAGTGGTGTCACCCTGTTGATTCATGTTGAGTTTTTGCACTTTTATTTCAAGAAAACGGAGTGCGGATGGATATATTGATTTATAGTTTCTTTAATTTAAATCTTCGTTTTTAAAGCTGAAGTGTAATCGGCTTATTTGCTTCCCTAATCCCCCCCCCCCCATCAACATGCTAATAAGCCCCTTTTCTTTTTTTTATGACATAGTCCCAGTCCCTCTCTATTCAATGTAGGCAGATCATGGCTGGTTGGAGGGGCTGGGAGGGTTTGGAGGGTGCTGTACAAAACTTTCTATAAACATCAAAGCACCCTGCATCAGTACTCCTCTTAAGATCGAACACAGCCCTGATGCAAGCAGTGGGCTGGCTCTTGGGAGGAGTTATGCAAATATCAAAATTACATAATGGGTGGATGTCAGTTCCTACACAGGCTGCATTTGAGTGCAAACCACCCTAGGTAATGCCCACATGTGATGTTGAGCCTCCATGATTGACAGAACTGAAATCCAATGAATGAAAGGGGCGGACCCGGAACAGTCAGGCTGGGGAGGAAAGGGCTAGTTCAGGGGTGGACAACTCTGGACCTCCAGCTGTTGTGAAATGACCAGTCCCATGAGGCATTGCAAGACTGACAGTGACAAGCATGACTTCCAGAGGCAGAGGCATGTTGACTACAGCTGGAGGGCCGGAGATGGCCAGCCCTGGGCTAGAAGATGCTGGACATCCTCCAGCCAGGACATGAGGTGGGCTCTGTCTTGCTGCAGCTTCTAATGCACATTGTGAGGAGCAGAGTAAGCATTTTCAGTCCAGCGGAGGAGCCGGTATATCTGGTTTCAGTTCCTCTTTGGTTCAGGCTCACGGTCCGTCTCCTTCCGGTGTTCCCATTATCTCTGGAAGGCGCGCTCTTTACACATAGAATGCTACAAGAGTCGGAGAGGTTGCCCAGCACCCCTCCGGGCGCGTCACGGTGTATGGCCTGTGATATGTCATACGGCCCTCCATAGTCTTACCCCAACTCTTGTGTTTCTTGTAATCACATAGCTCGGCTCCTTCCGGCAGCGGGTAAAAGGCGTAGGCGCAGCCGCAGCGCTTCACCATCTCTGCTTGGAAGCAGGAGCGGACGCAGACCTGAGAGGAGGGACAACAATAAAGACAATTCATTGCAGGGGGATCAGTAGGGAATGTGGAGCACAGTTATAGTTGTCTTGACGTGTTCCCGTTACACCTAGGTGTGAACGGGAACGCCTGAGTTCACACTTGCAATTTTGTAGCAATGATTTTCAGCAGCTACAGCAGTGAAGCACAACGTCATTGGTTGCTAGGATGCTAGTGGCTAGGCCTCACAGCATCATTGGTTGCAAAGACACAGACGGGCTCACCATAACAACCAATGACAATGTGGGGCAACCAGCATCTTAGCAATCAATGATGCTGTGTGGGACCGCACAGAGTCACTGGTTGCTAGGGCGCTACTGGCTGGGATTCACAGTGTCATTGGTTGCTAAGAAGCTGGTGAGCTGCACAGCATAATTTTTTGCTAGGACACAGGTGGGCTCACCATACACAACCAATGACAATGTGGGCCAGCCAGCTTCTTAGCAACCAATGATGCTGTGCGGCCTGTACAGTGTCATTGGTTGCTAAGAAGCTGGTGGCTCACAGCAACAGTGGTTGTTATGGTGTGCTCACCTGTGCCTTAGCAATCAATGATGCTGTGCGGCTCACCCACCAGTCAACCAATGATCACGTGGGAGAGTCACTGGTTGCTAGGAATGCTAGTGGCTTGGTCTCACAGTGTCATTGGTCGCCAAGAAGGTGGAGGGCTACACAGCATCATTGGTTGCTAGGACACAAAAGTGGGCTCACCATAACAACCAATGACAATGTAAGGCAGCCAGCGTCTTAGCAACCAATGACGCTGTGTTGGTCACCCACCAGTCAACCAATGACGATGTGATGGCCGTACAGTGACATTAGGTAATAGGACGCAGATGAAGGTCTGGCGGCGGGGTTATCTGGCCAAATGGTTTGCCCGTTCAGCAAACTGCGAACAGCTTGGGTTTCAAGAGCTCAACCCAAACCCAAAGTTCATTCCCAATTAAGACCAGCAGGTAGATTTAGGACAGAAAAATATTTCAGGCATGTAGCTCAACGCACAAAGACACCATAACAAGCAACAAAAACACACAAAACTGCATAAACAACTATTATTGAAATCAAGGGTGTGTTTGTAAAGCTGAAGCCCCCATTCCACAACACAAAGAGACACCCTAAGACAGGGGTGGGCAACTCGGGCCCTCCAGCTGTTGTGGAACTACAAGTCCCATGAGGCATTGCAAGACTGACAGTTACAGGCATGACTCAGAGAGGCAGAAGCATGATGGGATTTGTAGTTAAAGCACTGCCTGAGGGCTGGAGTTGCTCACCCCTGCTCTCAGACAACAGCTGTCAAAATACTGCATCTTGTAATCTTTTGCTGAACATGCAGGATCACGCTGAATTAAAAAAAAATTAAAAATTGGCACGAGCTGTAATCATTTATGGAGGAGGAATGCCTTTCATGTCTGTTATTGTACCAGGGGAGTATTAATGGTGTTTATGTTACCCTGAAGCCATTCTATAGATGCATACAGTATGTACATACACTTAGTAAGCTAAAATACGTTGGATTATTTTAAAGCAGAACTCCAGGCAAACAGGTAAATACCCGGATCAATTACATATAAGGGAGCTGTTATAGCTACCAAAGGATTTGTATTTGTGTCCATCCAGTTCTGAGATTTACACAGCACAGCCCTGTCTGGCAGGGAAGGAAGGCCTGATTTTTCTCTGTTGAAGTAAGGTAACACTGACTGGTCTTGTCCCTCCCCCAGGCTGTGATTGGACAGTGAAAGGAGAAGCAGCGCAGTGATGAGTTCATCTCTCTGTTGCTCTGTTCTCTCCTCCTACCACCATGTTCCATTTTAGCACATAAGCACAACCGATTGGCTCCTCGTGCTGCTTCTCTCTGTCCTGGTATGAGCTCTGCTGCGCAGGGACTGTAAAAGGCTGATAATGCCGCCGTTTCAAATACAGGTACTTCATTTGCTTGCAGTAAAAACACATTTAGGGTTAAAGCAGCACTAAACTTTCAGGGTACAATCACACCATATGCAGTAAGCTCCATTCCGATTCGGTCCTGACACTGCAATCGCATTGCGGCCAGCTCACTTTATTGCGGTGCGGTGCAATCAAAATGCTGCAAGCACTATTTTGATCGCACCGGACTGGACCGCAGGCACAATGTGCCTTGTGACCCCGTGCGGGCGATCGAATTGCGGCCGGAGGGCGTGGCTATGGTGCCATTCACTTCAATGGCCTGCCACGCCCCCTCCTGCCCTACAACAAAATGAGCTGGCCGCAATGCGATGCAATGCGTTCCGGCCAGAATCGGACCGGAACGCACTGCATATGGTGTGAACGTACCCTCAGCCTTTTTTCAATAATAAATCCAGATTAAACGAATGCCCAGCAAAGTGTTTCTTTACATTTCTGCCGAAGTGCTTACAGTGATTATGTTTCTGAGCAGCTCCAACTCTCTCAGCTCTGCTTTCCTGAACTTCCTGTCCAATACAAGAACAGAAGGGACACAGCAGTCTCCAGCAGTTGTCCCTCTGCTAGCTTGGAGCAGGGGAGTGGCTTGCCTTTGCTGTCTCTGTGTCTTTCTGGATAGTACAGTATGTCACCGGCACACCACGGTTCAATCTTCAAGCCGTGATCATTTTATTGATGCGCACGCATCATGTCACATCTTGCAACGTTCCGGGGCCACTCGGGGTCCCAGGACTGTAGATACCATGGGGCGAGTGAGGCACTCGCCTCAGGTGCAGCTGAGAGGGGGCGCAGCCAGGGCCGGTCCTGGCTGCGCCCCCCTGTTCCTGTTGCCATGGCAAGCACAGGGTGCCAAGGCAACAGTGGTGATAGGTGGCCAACACAGCTGCGGCTCATTCAGGATGGACCCGCTGGCTTCAGCGCTCAGAATGCCAGAGCAGAAGATCGGTAAATATCTGTGATCTGATATCTTTGTGAAGAGCTACCATTGGAATTGTTAGCTGACCACTCCAGCTGAATAACTGGGGACAGATAGTACGAGCATTCTGCACATGTGTGCCGCCATCCTGGAGGCGGGGTGCATTATGTCACATGATACCGGGCATGTGCGGCGTTGGGTGACATCACACGTCTGTTGG